AAAATTTCTCATCACTATACTGTAGCGAAAAACGTCACATTTCACTGCTGGACCTGTATAATGGCTTTTTTGAAATATCACTAAATAATGAATTTTTATTATGCAAATTTATTACAATATTGTAAATAAATTTGCCTATAATCTTATCCTTAGGGGCATTATTTTTATAATTAATAAATATTATTTTTAATTTATAGAAAAATCTACTAATTTATTAAATTCTGATGACCTGTATACCTACATACCTAATTTCTGTATTACAATGGTTTTAATTCAATAATTGTCCAAATAGTAATTAAAAAAAAATGTTATTCGGATTGTCATACAAAAATTATAAAAAAAAATGTATAGTAAAAACCCTCTGTTACGGTAAAAATAAATACATAAAGTGTAAAAATAAAACATTATCTCATTCCTGAACGTGTCTAAACCATTGAACACTAATATTTCAAAAAGTAATATTTTTATGTTTCAACAACATTAGCCACAAGTGATTACTTCTTATTATATAATATTTTGAAAATGACTATCATTTGGTTGAAAGTTTTGTTAAATTATTTACCATCAGATATATATAATTACGATTTACAATGTAACTTTTGAAAGTTTACATTGAAAACTACCACCAGATATACTTTTATAAACCATATAAATAAATGAAACTATATTCCATACATTTTAATGAATAAATCCTTACTTGACGAAAAAACGGTGGTAGTATTTTTAATAAATCATACTGTATATAAATAAATAATTTTTTAGCAAAACTTATAATATATTTATGCATTTAAACATTTTATCATTTGAGTAATTTATTTGTATAGTAAAGTAATTTTGTTAAATACATAAATAGAAAAATATTCATACTGATAATCAAATATGTTTCTTACTTGATATTTACTTACGAAAAATGTATATTTTTAAAGTTTCAATTTATAAAATCAAAATTTTTTATATTTACGTGGCAGTTAATCCAACTCTACAAGCTATTTTAATAATTTAAGTTATAATTTATAAAAATGAACTGTAAATTCGCTTATACATTCCTTTTATTAATACATTATATTTTTTTAGTGAACTTTATAATATGCAGTTCACAAAAAACAAATTCGGTTACATCTAGAATAGACATTACCGATCTGAATATATTATTTCAAGCTAAAGGTTGGCCAAAAGTTCATTTTCCTAAAGCATTAGATGCAAAGAGTGGTTCTACTTTAAAAATTAATAATTTGTTAAAGAAAAAGGCCCATGGTGAAGATTTTGCATTCACAGGGAAAAATTTGAATGAAACTATTGCTAAAATTTATCAATTACTTAGCTGTAAATATGTGGAATCAATATGGATGTTTGGAATTCTCTCAAAACATATGGTAACATCATGTGATCTGTTTGTGAAGGAAAGTGATTGTTCAAATTGCATGGTAAAGTTCATCACAGCAATAAGAAAAACTCAAAGCACGATTATTTATTTTATAAACATTTTGAAGATGTTTACCCCTAACATAAATGAAACAATAGAAGATATTATTTCCATTGGTGACACAATAGAATATAATTTTGAAAGCAATTCAATAATTGAAAAAGATAATATCGATAATATTTTTTCAGTATCTCGATCTAACAAAGAAGATACCGAAACTTTTTCAATTTTTAATAGTGAGGAAAAAAATAATACACCATCTATAAATTTATATGAAATTTATTCACGACCTAAATCTATAATCACACGTTACAGAACACAAATTATAGATAAATTCCAATCTGATAGTAATATTAATGATATCATAAAAAAAATTAACGAATCAAACACAGACTCTTTTGAATATTTACATACACGGTGCATTCCAAGAAACAAAATGACCTCAGATTCATCACGTTTTTTGGAAAATTACTCAACAACTTATCAAAAGATAAAGGACCCTACGAAGACAATTGAACATTTTGAAGAAGTAATAGAAAGATACTGCAAATTTATCACAAAAAAATACTTGGAAGAAGTCGGGTTACAAAAATTAATCGATGAGAAACCTAGACATAAAAACTAGAACTCGCGCTCAGAAGATAAAATAAATTTTTTCATTTAGATTTTCTTATTTTCCCTGTATACTTTTTAAAATGTATTCTATACAATAAATTTAGTGTTAAATTTATATCGAATTAAATAAAATTAACAATGGAATTTTTTTTATTTATGTATGAATGTAATTACAAATAACTAAATTAACATATTACAAAGTATTACACACATTGTATTTGTTTATAAAAAATTACAACAATTCTCAAAACCCAGTAACACCATTTGATATTTTTCCTGTTCAATTATTTTTAAATTTGAATGTTACGCCCTATTAATTATATACTGTGATATGACTATTTTTTTTTTAATTAATTAAGTAAGAACGAAAAAATGTATAACATTTTTCAATGTTTAATTTTAGCTGCGAAATGATGCTGAGAAGGTTTTTAAGAGTGTAATTTAACCTCTCCAATTTCTTTTATTTAACTTTATATTTTAATCAATTTAAAATTGAAAGATAGTACTAGTATTTTAAGTAATTTATGACAGAATATGATATTAAAAATAATTTATGTAGAATTTGTATTATAACATTGAATGTATTCAAAGATAACTACTGATATTTTAAAAATTTTAAATGAAAAAACAGCAAGTAATAGTAATAAAAATTATCTTTTTAAGATAAGGGTCTATGTTTAATTTCATTATTATTATTTTGGTTTATTCTGAAATGTACTCCTTCTTAGACGTTAAATTTGATTAATATAGATATTAAAAAACCCAGCACAGGGGGATTGCGGCACAGTTGTGACGTGGTATAGTTGGATCAAGTATAATGATATCTGACAGTGATTAAAATCACTATCAAAAATAAACGCTTCGATGCAAATCTTTAGATAGTGTTTAATTTTAAAAAAATTGGTGTTTTATTCCAAAAGCTACTTGAT